CAACCATGGAAGAGGGAAGGGAAGAGATGAGACGAAAGCTGATAAGAAGGAGGGAAGGAAGAGGAAATCAAGATAAGGAGGGTGAGAGGAGGAGAGATTAAGAGGAAGAAAGAGAATGATGAAGAGGAAAGGAGATGGAGGGATGCAGTAACCAAAATAAATGAAAAAATTGAGAGAAATTCAAAAGAAGAAAGAAAGAAGACGCTAATGAAGACAGTAGACAAGAGAAAGAAGACATAGAGGAAGAAACGAGATACATGAGATTGAAAATAACAATATAATGAAAGAGAGATTCATCTGTTGATTACACACCCTGGAGGAGTTTGGTTAGGTTAGGTTATGTTATGGTTATGTTATGGTTAGGTTAGACTAGGTTAGACCAGGTTTAGGTTACGTTAAGGTTAGATTAGGTTATGTTAGGGTTAGGTTAGACAAGGTTAGACCAGGTTTAGGTTACGTTAGGTTTGGTTAGGTTTTGGTTAGGTTAGACTAGGTTTAGGTTACGTTAAGGTTAGATTAGGTTATGTTATGGTTAGGTTTTGGTTAGGTTAGACTAGGTTTAGATTAGGTTAGGTTAGGTTTACTGCAGTGTTCGTTACCGTAGCAGAAGTAAAGAGACAGATGAAGGCCGATAACTTTACGGACAAAATATCGGTCTTTTCCAACACATAAAACAGCTGGGTAATACCTTCTGGCCCAGAGCTTTTATGTCCGTGGTATTGTTGAGAAGGTTCCTGGTAGTCCCCTTTCACTGCCTCTCTCACTGCCTCCCTGCCTCTCTTATTGCCTCCCTGCCTCCCTCCCTTCCTCTCTCACTGCCTCTCTTATTGCCTCCCTGCCTCTCTGCCTGCCTCTCTCACTGCTTACCTACCTCCCTGCCTCCCTTTCTCACTGCCTCCTTCCCTTCCTTTCTCACTGCCTCTCTGCCTCCCTCCATGCCTTTCTCACTGCCTCTCTGCCTCCCTCCATGCCTTTCTCACTGCTTCCCTCCCTATCACTGCCTCCCTCCCTTCCTTTCTCACTGCCTCTCTGCCTCCCTCCCTTCCTTTCTCACTGCCTCTCTGCCTCCCTCCATGCCTTTCTCACTGCTTCCCTCCCTATCACTGCCTCTCCCCCTCTTGTTCTTTCCCTCTTAGTGCCCCAAACTTATGTTCTTCAATGCTCTTACTTTACTGATGATCCTCTTCATTTTGGTTCTGTGGTTCACCTGAGGACAGCTTATTTCATCTGCCGACTGACTAACTTAATCTAACCTAACCTATCTTAACCTAACCTAACAGTAGAGTAATTGTGTACACGCTGGGTTATTAATGTACGGTTGGTTGTTCGACATAATTGATCATATTACATAACAAAAACAACATATATACTAATTTGATTATAAAAATACAACTGTAAGCTCGCTGCCTTAATATTCACCTATATAGTAATCAAGTAAAGAAAGTTATTATTTTTTTAACTGTGATCTTCAGTGATGCAAGAACCGTAAAATACTCAACTCGGAAATCCATTCATGAAAATACGCCCCGAACTGTTTTACTCTACACTGTTATACTGAGAGGGGCTGTCAGTCATCTCTGTTGCTTTAAAGACTCCCAACATTCACCACACGTTACTAAGACTCGTCACTCGCATCATCATCATCATCATCATCCTAGGGCGACTCTCACTACAGCCACACCACCGCCCAGCTGCATCTTTATCTCCTGAGTTATAACACCAAGTTGGCAACTGTCCAGAGAACCTAACGGCGTGTTGCTGCATTTCTCCAACTCACACATTCCCGTTAGCTTAGATTATTTTTTTTGTGATTCATATCTGTAAAATGCGCTGCGTTTATGGATTTTTTTTGTTTTGTTTTTGTTTTAGAGATTATTTAAAGCAAGTACTGTAGCATTCCCGGGTGATCGAGTTAATATTAAATGCAGAACTATAAGTCTTGGTCAAGGACTCTGCAAGTTTCACCATCTTTACTTCACGTTTTCTATGGTGATTTTTTTTCTCGTGCCAAGAGCGTTAAGTAATCTTATTTATGATTGACTACCAATATTCTGGGAAATAAATTACAAATTATGAAATGACAATGACTTAAAACCAATATTTTTCCCCAGGTAGACTACAGTGGGTAAACATTAGAGGTAGGAGAAGAAAAATATACAAGCAGGGGGTGACAGTTTACGAATGTCGTGACGCAAATCTTACGTCAGTGATATTTTTAAACACCCTTTTATTCAGAGCTTCCCCTTCCTTATAAAGAAGCAACGGAAGCTCACACGTGTGTAGTAATGAAGTGACGTAACAACAGCGGGGTCGTGTAATGCGTCCTTGGAATTCATGGTTTTATAAATAGCAGGGGTGGTGGTGGTGTCATCTATTGAGTGGCGGGGCAGACGGATCTTTTTAAAGCTTCCGATAACTCAGCTGTCATGAGGGGCGGGGCGGGGCAGGGAGGGGATCGTCCGTGTTACACAGTACATTATACCGTGTTCTGCAGGTGGCCAATATTACTATATCGTGAGTAGACTATATTAGTTTTATTATCTTACACTTTACTACAGGTAACCAGTATAGGTGAATATACTACGTTTGAGAAGGGATCTAATTTACATAATACGCTTTTGGGTGGCACTCTTTTCACGGTTCATTATAATATACTGTACTGTAGACGTGAGGTGTTAATGTAGTGGTACAGCTGTTGTTATAGTGTTAGATTAAAAGGTTAACTGAGGTGAGTAAATAGAGTAGAATAAAAGTTCCTTATTGATATTATTTGGTCTGCAGTTTGATTTATTATCGTTTGGGAAATATGTGAAGGGATGGTTTACATAACGTGTTGGCCAGGTACACACTGTGACTGTCTTTGATGGTAGCTGCTGCGTCCGGTCATAGGAGGTGTTTCATTATCATCGCTCACCATTATCCCTCACTTAAAACAGCAAACAATGAGAGGTGGCTGCTGCCGTTGTCTCGTTATATAGAGTCTTGAGGAATTTAGATGCCATTAACAGCTATGAAAAACAGGAGAATGGGGTTAGTCGTCTAGTTCCCTACAGTGAATTTATCTTTTTGTCGAGGTAGCCAGCCAGTCAGCGAAGGGGCCGGCGGCGTCTACTGTTTTATACACATTCTTGCTGCTTCGTAGATTTATACCAGTCTTGTAATGTATACTACCCACACATTAAAATCAACGTAAAGTACATAACGATGGTAGTCATTTAGTAACATTTTTAAGTCAACGGTAATGGTTAAAAACGAATTAAAACGAAAAAAAAGTTGTTTATGCGCGATATATCCACATAACACATGCTTCTCTTTCATCTACACTCTTTACGGTCCACAGCTTGTTGTGTAGGAGATCCTAGAGGTGTCCCTTTGAAGGCCACAAGAGGCTGCTGTAGTAGCTAGTATTGTATTTGTGGGTGGCGAGAGGCGACCGTCACCCTCACTTGCCAGCTGTTTATTCAAATTCTCCACACAGCGCTGGTTGGCAACTCTCGTGACGTCACTATAAGTCGGCTTGTCCTCATCACAAATATTTTCGTCTTGTGGAGGAAAATGTTTGTGTGAGAAAGAATGTTGCTTGCTTGCTTGCTTGCCTGACAACTGAATAATAATGCACAATTGTATATCTGTATAGCAAATATTTATGGGCGTTAGTTACAGTAATCGAAGAAAGAAACCTTGAATGTACTTAAATTGGATTAAACTGTTGTTAGGCTTGGACAGTACAACACTATAACAAATTCATGTATTTTTTCTGACTAATGGCATATTTGTCCTCCTCTTGTTAAATTTATTTTAATTAGAACAATTTTCTTATTTACGTTACGACTTTATAAATATTTAGAGTTATACGTACAGGAGCTTCAGCATTTATCATAGACAAATTCGAGTACAGTCCAGTCGTCTTAGAAATACTAGGCTTCCATACACACAATACCTCACGTGTTTTATAAATAATTCATAATGGGCAGTATACGTCACGTCTGAGATATGTACAGTATTTGGGTTGATAAAAAGGTGTATATGCCTTCACATTGGTGTATTAGAGAGAATGGAACTGTTCTCAAGAGGCTAAACTTGGAGAATTGTGCTAGTGTAAGGCAGTCTTAGGAGGCTCGTGTGTGTGTGTTACCAGTCAGCTGTGCAATTTTAAGGAATTTACCTTTATTGTTACTGTATAGTGGATTTGATTGGATTAATATTAAGTATTTACATGTTTTTCTTTACGCTTTTTTTGCTTCATTTCAGGGATTCACATGGGTTCGTTTGAGTCATTTCAGGGATTCACATGGGTTCGTTTGAGTCATTTCAGGGATTCACATGGGTTCATTTGAGTCATTTCAGGGATTCACTTGGGTTCATTTGAGTTATTTCAGGGATTCACATGGGCTCATTTGAGTCATTTCAGGGATTCACATGGATTCATTGTAAGGCCACGTATGGTCTAGCAACCAACATTTTCAGGGTTTACTACCAACATGGCACCAAGGAGAAGGACTTGATACCCCACACCTGAAAACGTTGGCAAGACACCTACACGAGCTGGGCGAATTCGTCTGTTTATCAACGTCTTGGGAATGTTGGGGAGAGTAGAGGAGGAGGAGGAGGGGGGGGGTGGTCGGGTAAAAGATTGATAAAAAAGAAGGGTGTTTTTGACTGAAATAAAACGTTTTGGATTTAATATAGATACGACTGTTGGTGAGGAAGAATCATGTGTGTGTGGGAAGGTGTGTGTGTGTGTGTGTGTGGTGAAACCTACTATCGCAAATGCCTGTACCTTCCTTCCCCAAGCCTCGTCTAATGCTAGGAAGGTCGCAGTTACTCGCTTATGTTTGTACAGCAGGAAATTCATCTTGTTTTTTTCTATCATTTATGTATCATGTACTATACAGCGCATGTATACTGTGTAATTTTATACAGATAATAAGGATAACTTGTTATATTAATACATGATGTAACAAAAGACAAATGTTATCCAGGTGTTGTTTACATTACAGCGGGAGTACGTACGAGGGACAGTGGCAGAACGGGAAGCGGCACGGCCTGGGTGTAGAAAGCCGCGGGCGGTGGGTGTACCGGGGGGAGTGGACTCAAGGCTTCAAGGGCCGATACGGCGTTCGCCAGTCCACCACCTCCGCCGCCAAATACGAAGGCACCTGGGCCAATGGTCTCCAGGACGGCTACGGCTCTGAGACATACGCCGACTCTGGTAAGTGACGCCCAGTATAGCCATAAGGACATGTCTTGTTCAACGACAATATACAGCATGACTTGTCAACCCCAGATAGTTATTCTCGGGTATTTTTTAGTTAGATTTAAGTGGGCGCTTCTTTCATGGCTGTAACTTCACCTGGCTTGTTAAACTCCAGGGGCGTGGCTTGTTCATAGCAGCTGTTTAACTTAGATAACCTGAATAATGGTCTATGTTATGTTTAATTTCCTAATCGCTTACAATTATTATCCTTGGTGTTCTGCGTTAGGTGCCCGCCATTCAGGCTGTCATACGTCACTCACCATAATTTGGCTGCCCTGACTGCTAATATCAACAAAATAATGTACTAGACTTAAACACAAGAGACTTTACATTGGGAGACTATTGGTCAGAGTTCTCTGAAGGTGGTGGACAAGTGGCGGCAATTCCTTGGTGTGGGAGACGCTCGTGTTGTGTGTCGGGGTATTTGTGTGTTCATTTACACTCTCAGAATTCGACTTGTTTAATTCTTAATGGCTGGTGGCTATTTTATTAACTATAATACACTCCTCAAAACCTTAACTATTAAAGCGCTATAATACTAATGAACTATCTTTATTTCGCTACAATTTCCCGATTATTTATACGGTACCACGTTTTGAACTAAATGAAAAAAATGCTTTCTTAAAATTCAAACAACGGTACTTCGACTTATCAAGTGGAATGTGTATTGCGTGTATGTTTACCCTGGTTAAAGAATTATAGGGAGGAGGAGGGTAGGAGGGGCTGGCTACCATCAAGGTGTGTGACGCCGCCCAGTTCCTGGTATTATCGTGCATCACCTCGAGTGTTTCCTGCTGTTTTATTATTAGCAGTTGGGTCTTTTTCCTGGGCAGCTATGTCACGGCTCCCAGGATAGTGCAGCTCGCTCGGGATGTGGGTGGATGAAGGCTTGTTGTACTTTAAGGCAGGAAATATGACTCTTGTAGAAACAAGGTATATTATTATTGTTAGTCAAATAAAAGCCGGAGAGTGTGTGTGTGCGTGTGTGGAAGGACAGATGTCAGGGAGAGAAAATCTTAGTGGTGGTGGTGGTGGTGGCGGCGGACAGTGTAGCAGTGGAAACATGGTGATAATATCTACACCAGGGGCGAAGGTTAACACTGTACCAATGTTTGTTTGTTTGTTCATACCTCTAAGTTAGGTTAAATTGTAGTGTATTTCACCTATTTAGCTTCTTAGTATTCTCACTATGTGTTCACTATTCATGCACAGGTAAATATTGAAGACCTGTTGTTTTTTCTCACTCGTCACGACCTCGGTGTAGTAGTGAACGTGACAAACAAAAACATCGATCGTCGTAAAGGTCAGATTGATGAAAAGTCTTTAATTCAGTAATAAAGTTTAAACGGGAATTTACATAACAACATAACGTAATCCACCTGTAAAGTTCATATACGTAACAGTCTGTTATATTTTTTTGGTTTATGTCTAGTCATCAGTTCATCCTTGTGAATCTCCCCAGATCACGAATTTGTTATTATCATTATATTGAAACCTCTATTTAGCGGATTATTTGGAGTAAAGTCCGTTATAATCGAGGGTCTGCTAGATGTGATAGTCCCCATCTAACGGATTATATGGAGACAAGTCCGTTGTTTGGAAGTTTCACTCTAGTTCATTATCGTTTCATTCCAATACATTATCCTCACCGTGTAATCGGCTATCTAGTACTTATATGAAACTCCTATTTTATATTCGTCACTTAAAGTTGTTTGGAGCACAAATTTATAACTATGTCTAGTCAGTATTTATGGTCAGATTGTTCGATGTTCTAAAGTCTGGTGGAACGTTTGGGACGATGTTGACCGTGTACACCAGTGGTTCTCAACCTTGTTTGCCCCATGCACCCCTTTCACCATATGTCAGAATGTCATTCCCCCCTCCTTTCCAAGATTGTCTGCCTCAAAAAGTGCATTCCAAATAATATGCATATAATACTGAAAATCCTTTATTTTTTCCATATTAGTATCAGTTTCCCGCCTGAAAACCTGAGGGGGGAAATTCCCCCCTGGTTGAGAACACCTGGTGTACACTGTGACCCTCAACATCCTGCACCGCTGTTCGTGTGAGATAATAACGTAAAGAACATTGATTCAGCGCTAGGAAGACTGTATACAATTACACCCGTGGCCGAGCTGCAGTGAAAGTGTATTTGGCTCGCGAAAAGTACACTTGTAAGGTTGGAACGGAAGACGCACTCGACTGCCATTGTTTTTTTCAGGAGCAACTGGTATCAGATGTTAAAATGGAACTAACATCAGAAAATTTATCGTTGCTGCTACAATACGTTAAAGGTACTACTGACGTAAACAGAAATGTTGGTGTATCTCAGATCGTTGTTTTATGGTGGTATCGTACAGGTAATTACTGAGATAAAATAATAACTTTCTCTACACGTCACTCGGAATTATCAAACATCGCGCCGCCCCCTCGTCATAGTTTGTCACCATGTGGAAAATATATAATTGTCAATAATGTTGAAATTAATTTAACTTTTTACGTCGGTGAATGAAATTTTTTTCAGGGAATGTAAAATATCAAGAGAAGAAAATAATCATAAGGTAAACACATTGTGGTATCTGGACGGTGTCTAGGATACATTTTACACAAACACTCAACCTGAATCATATTTAAGTTACGCTAATTGATTCTCTTGTTGAATTAGCTAAATTTAACTGCTACCTTAAGATGAATAACTTTGTTACGAATTAATTTTATAAAGAATAGGATTCAATCTGAGCCAAATAATTACGGCAACAAACAAGAATGTCTTACCCGGAAAAACACTCAAGACACTTTAAAGAATGAAAACTGTTTCAGATGAAAGCAACTTAGAAAGGAGTTAAGACGACATTACCACACAAGGATGAAATATGTTGTGTTTGAGAGCAGGATAACGTAATAGTGAGAAAGTGAAATATTGACCAAAACAAATATATAACTGAGAGGTGGATGGTAGTAGGGAGAGGGAAATATTAAAGAAAAGGGTGAAAAAAATGAAGATAAGGGCAGTGGTGTAATAGAAGGAAGAGAAGATGTGAAATTAAAAACGTTTGAAATAGCATTGAGTGATTGAATCGGTACGTCTCTATCCGCGTCAATGTTACATCAATCTACAGGTATTCGCCTTGTGTGACTTATATAACATACAGTTTTTACTTTCATTATTAACCAATGCTAAATAATTTCATGGGAGGCGCGTAAACTCATTATAAAAATGACTAGCAGTGCGGCGCCATGCATTGTCAAACGAATTTTATGAAGCCTTTTGTCATCGAATTTTTCTCGTTCTCTGTGTGTGTGTTACATGTAAACTAGAATTTGTTAGTATGTTTATTAAAAAGTCAAGGCCACACCGCATATTGCCATGACAACAACGAGCCGTAGCAGTGAGGAGGGACAAGGCAGCCGACATGTAGGAAATGTAAACATGAATGAGATTATTATTCTTTCAAGGGGCCAACTAAGCTAATCTTGCCTGATCCATGTAGAGGAAAGTTTTAGCTAATTTTGGTTTTGTTTTTGTCGTCTGAAAAATAAATGATTTAGTGGTCACAAAACTCGCACATCTGGCCACACCTCTAATATCAGTGGCCACAACATTTGTACCTCTGGCCATAACTTTCCTATCTCTGGACATAACTATTATCAATGGCCACAATCTTCCTATCTGGCCATTTCACCTGTACAAACCGGATTAACTGGCATTTGTATTTGTTCTCGAAACTTTAGTAAATAAAGTCAGTTACACAGGAGGTACGGACTAGACTCTTCCGTGTTGGGTTATATACTACCTAAACACAACACGGAAATTTACCCTTTGAAATATGAATTAATTTTGATTGTTGTTTTGTCCTTGAACATGTGAATTATACGCTCAGGTGTTAGTTATATACAGTATACACCTTTTCATGGAAGCTGCGTTTTTTTTAATAATTCGAGTTTTTACGGATCAAAGAAAACAGAATACTCTACAGGGGAAACTTAAATAAAAAGAACTACGTTTAAAAGATTTTGAAAGGAATATAACGAATTAGCTGATGAATTTAGCTATCTGACGAATAATTCCTGTTTTGTATCGTAAAATATAGACCTAAATATCGCAGTGCTTATAATTAACCACGACTGAGTGAGGGATTCAGTGCGTACCATGAAGAATGAAACCGGACTCTAGCTGGCACTGAAATGAATCCTCGACTTAAAGGTTCGAATGCAGAGTGAATCCCTCTTCTCTTTTTGCCAGGAAACAGTTGTGACGCCCGAGTTAGGTAGGTGTTAAAAAGTCTTGGCAATATAGCCGCCATATTTCACCTATCTCCTCCAATGAGTTAATGACATTCTCACAGGTATAGAGGCATTTGATTAGATAATTAAGTCAGTAGCTAAGATGTCGTAGGTAATTCCTCGGTTAGATTTATATGATAGAAAAACAACTTAATGAGGTAGAGTCGAAATCGTAATGCTGACGTTGTTTATGATGTGTAACCTAAACAAGCTATGTTAGGTTTAGTTTGTTTATGTTCAATATAAACCATTTTATTTTAAATTTTCCTGTGGCATTCAGAGTATCTCGTATGTTCGTCAATCTTAAACCCAGTAACTTAATCTAAACCTAAACCAAGTAATACCTCAAGTAACCTATACCAATATATTATAACCCAAATAACTTAAACTACATCAGAAACCTAATCTAACCTAACCAAAATATTCTAAACAAACCAACGAAAATAACCTTTGAGTTCCCCCCCTCTCCCCTCCCTCCCTGAAGGTGTCTGTTTCTTTTAACCTGGATTCCCTTATACTATTGGATCCCCTTATACTCTTGGATTACCTTATACTATTGGATCCCCTTATACTCTTGGATTACCTTATACTATTGGATCCCCTTATACTCTTGGATTACCTTATACTCTTGGAATCCCAGAACGAAGGAACTAACATCAAGACTAACTCGT